GACCAAGTAATTTTTGTTTACACATGCCTTGTGTGGTCACAACGAAAACGCCTTTTGGTTGCGTCGGGTAGACTCTGAAACTTTGAAACAGGTTCATAACATCTTTGGTCGGCGTTGGGCAGATCACGCCCAGTGGGTCGATTGGTTGTTTGCGCCTCGCTGCGCTTTCATCTTTGCGCGCAACACTTATTCGCAGTTGATCGGCCAACCTTTTTGTTTTTTTTTTGTGTCGGGCGTTGTTGCATGATGCCGAATTCATTTCACGCACCGGCCTGGTGACCAAAGTCTTCGGGAGACTATGGTCGCAAGGGCTTGCCGTCAAAATGCGTTTTCCTGTTATGCCGGCCTTTGTTTTTTTAGTGGACGTCCTTGAGTTTTGTTTATTTTTTCTGTTTAGTGTTTTCCCGCGTCGTTGGATTTCTGAAATTTGTGCCGATTTTGTGGTTCCCCTTAAAGGTCCACAAGAGGCCCCCAAGAGGTTCCCAAGATGTCCCCACGCGAGCCTCCGAGGGACTGGGGGGGCTCGAGGTCAAGCGTTAGGCAACTTGCTTTGGGGATGCATACGCCGTGTAACAAAACCAAACACGTTTCACATCGTATGTAGCGTTGTTCGGTTTGGGCATTCCATGAGCAATCGGGTAAATCGCTTTCAAGGGCCTCAGGAGGCCCCATCGCCACAGTTGCTTCGGCTGCATCGGTGTTAGGCGTACCGACGCAATCCGCGCGCCTATTGTCTGAAGCACAGGCCCGCGGAGAACCATTCTCTTGCTAACATATTCGGGGCGGGGACTCGCATTCGAAATTCGAGGGCCCGTGAGGAACCCAGCGTTGTCGACCGATTGAAGAACGGGGGGTCGATAGTCATTGGGTTGGAATGTCGGAGCTCGAGAGCGGTGTGGGCCTCTTTTGGCCACCGTGCATTGCCCCCATGGCAACAGCTGGATTCGCTTCGCTTTTCTGGCATGGACGCGTTCCAGGAGAGATCTAGGATCCAAGGGTTGTCCAGTGTCCTCGGTTTCGTAGTCGTCAGCGGCGACATCATCCCCCCTCTTCTCTCCTGTCTCCTCCCACCCTCCGCTCTGGCATCCTCTTTCTCGCTCGCGCTCGCTATCTCCCTCCTCCACTTCTCCGTCTCACACCCTCTCTCTCTCAGTCTGAATGTGCCCCCCCTGTCTCTTTCTCTCTCTAGGTTTGGCCCCTATCGACTCTTGATCCTACCCTCGTCGCCCCGTTTGTTTTCTTCCATCGTTAGCCGCATCTCCCTAGCTCTATCCATCCCCACTCCCGTGCGCCATACCTCGGCCAAGCCTTCCTGTCAGGGCGGGCGGAGGGCGGCGGCCGCCATGGCGCTTGCGCCAGAGGCGCTTCTGGCAGGTCCTGCTGCCCCGAGGCGGTCCGCCCTCTCGTCTGGCCACGATAGGAGGCGGTTCCAGAATTCGCTCCCATGTAAGTTTCTGGCCTACACTTATGAGAAGGATGGCCCATTCATTCATGGGGTTGTTGAGCTTCGTGAGGTCTTCAGTTGGGGCCCTGGACCTCACGCAGCGTTTGCAGAGCATCAGCGATGCTCGTTGAACATATCACATTCTCCTGAAGCAGTGGTGTGGCACGTTGGAATGGTTCTTTGGGGCCCCCAACTACGAGGTCATATCATCACCCCTCCTTGCCGAAGCCGAGCAATATGTATTCAAGGTATGTCCTGACACTTGCCCGTGCCGATGTATCTCGCCCTTCCGTGCCCTCATCTCCTATTTACTCTGACCATCCCACCCGCCCACTCACCCTCCCCTAATCAACTCCCCCTCACCAGCGCAAATGGTCCGCCCGACCCGTGCTGACCACGAGCTAAACATCAGATAAACAAACACATCACATGCAATGACAAACAAACGGCACATAAACACAACGCATGTGTTTGCAATTCGTACGTGTGTATTTAGATGTGTTGATATGTAGGTATGCGCGCACGTGCAATGTTAGTTTGCCCATCTCCCCCACAGCGCCCAGGTTTGTCGTCTGAATGGGCCGATAGCTGTACCTAAGAATGCCGCAGGCTCCTGGAAGCAAGTGGCGCATGTGAAGGTGATACCCGAACTTGTACAGTTGCTCATTGATGGAGGGATGGCGGGTAGGGGTCCCACCAGGCGTGCATTTCGGTTTCATTCGGATGTTGTTGCTCCCGTCTTATCAGGCAGCTGGAAATATATGATTACTTCCCTTACCCATGTTGGTGCCTTTCGGCGTTACCCATTCCTCATGTGAGTAGGTGATCCAGGTTGTGGGGTCGATGGTCCAAGGTCCGTCGCAAATCAAGGAACGGGGTCTCTGGAACGTCTGGGACATTTGGTGGTCCAGGATTCATGGGTCGATGGTCCATGACTCTGTCGCCCACTCCCCACCAGACCCCGTAGGCGCAAAGATAAGTCCGACATCTGAAAGCCACTCTTCGTCAGGGTGCTGACGTGAGGGCGCGAAGATATCCGCGCATAGCGTATCGCAGGCAAAATAAGGCGGGAGGGTAAGACACTTGAATTCACGCCATGCCGTCCACTCGGAGCGAGGATCTTCGGCAGGCTGGGCTCGAGAGCCCTGGTGAGAGCATCAACGTTCCAGGCGCTTCGTTCGAGGACGCCCCAGCCCCCAGTCACCGCCCTCCTGGCCCGAACGCTGAAGCTGGCGAGCCGAACGCCGCTGGCATCCAGGGCCACCGCTTCCGAGGAGATCTCATCCTGAAGGCTTGGAAACTCAAGGCCCGTCTGAGCAGCGGCAACACACCCATCGAAGACATCGTGAAACTGTCCATGGAACTTGTGTTGGATCGAGGGGCATGCGGGGAGCTACAGGCCAAGTTAGACTCAGGGGAGCTCAGGCTTCCACGGCCGACTGTCTTGAAAAAAACAGAGAGCCGCCTCAACTATGTCGACCTTCTCTGGCAGCGGGAGCTTCACAAATGCTGGGATTTTGAAAGACACTGGAGCGCGGATGCTAGTCCGCAGGGGGGCTTCAACTATTTCATTATCTTGGAATCCAGGATGCAGTGGAGGAAGGGCGGGGGGCGACCACTTCAGACAACCCTGAAGTGGAGGCACATGACAGCAACAACTTTGGGATACGGCAGCGCGAACGAGCTCATGAAACCCCTCAACACCCAACACGCTCTGGCCCTGGAGACGGGATCACCGTCGCTCTTCGAGAAAGCAAGGTGGGAAGTCTTGAGCTGGACGAGTGACCAAGGCCACGAACGGGCCATTGTCGACTCGCCGTGTTTGCTTTCGGATGGGCTCGATAATCTTGCCGAAGTGTTTTCGAGAGTCCGATTGGGCAGGGCAGAGCTTAATAGTCCAGAATCGATTTCGGCATATTTCCTCCCATTGTGCATATTCATTCCAGACCATCTGCACATTGTGTTCAATGCCCTGGAGGAGGCAGTCTGTTCTTTGCCAACTTGGAAATGCGTGGAATCCCATTTCAGAACCCTAGCGACCTTCTTGAATGATAAGGGGCTTCGGGCTCGATTTCAGTCGTTTTGTTGTAGTGGATCTATCACAGCCAAGAGGGCGTTCGACAAGTGGAATGTAGGTGGGACGTTTTCATGGAGGTGGGAGTATTTGGAAAAATTTTGTCGCACGCTTCTAGAGCTCCTCCCACATCTGTTGACACACTACGACGTCGGGAAAATGAAATCAGGCACGTCATTCTCGAAGGTCGACGCCACCATCGTAGCGGAGGTCAAGGTGGCAGGGGGGAGTGGAATAATCCAAGGCATCATCCAGCCCCCCCCCCCCCTGTGCGCTCAATTCCTCTGTTCCCATCTACGTTCCCCCTCTCGTTCCATGAGCCTTGCGAGGTAGCATTGGACTTTCCAGAGCTATTGGGAATGTGTCATCTGTTGTCAGTGGTTGGCTGGAGACTCCAGCTGGAGGCGCATTGGCTAGAAGCGTGTCCTTGCCACCACAACATACTGGATCAACGGGGCATCCCTTGGAAGAAACGGCTAGCGAAATACCAGAAGGAGTCTGCTGGATGCCCCTGCAAAGGGCGGAGGGGGAGCGAGATGGCATCGGGGCACGTGGATCACTTCTGCAATGGCGTGATGTCTTGCAGCTCGCAGCCTTACAGAGCATATCTAGCGTCGGATTTGTTCGGCGTTGTCTCGACCAACATCGTCCGTTATGAGCACGAGCTGAAAACCAAGCTCGTGGACATATACAAGCTCAAGTTTGATTTCTGGAAGCACCCCCCCTACTGTTTTTTTTGCGGCCGTGGCGGCCGAGGACTCTCTCTATCCGCGCGAGGGGTGCGCCCGCATCGTGGCTTCGGGCCTCCAGGAGTGTGACCAGGCAGTGGCATCAGGCACTGTGGTGTTCAAATGGGAGGGGGGCTGGTTCTGATGAAACCCATGCACGTGTAAAACATCAGGAGGGGGGGGGGGGAGGAGGGCAGCGCGCCCGCCTCGCCCACCAAAGGCCTCCAGCACACCTTCCACCGCGTGTCCCGCTACCTCACGCAGGGCATCGACAACAAGATTCGCCAGGACCTTGCTTCCTTCGCTGCTGACCCTCGGCGCGAGCTTGGCCCACACGCTCAGTCCGCACTGCGTGGCTACGCCAGGGCATCCTTGGTATCGCGCAGGACGGAAGGTGTGCACGCCCTCATCAAGAAATACCAGAGGAAGAAAACGTTTGCGACGCCAGGTTTGATCAATTGTTTGATCAAACGAAAGGAACTCCTGGAGGCTCTTGAGGACGGGGACTTCTGGATATTTGCTGCTAACGCAATCGTGAACAGACACTTGCAAGAGCGGGTCTTGCAGTTCGCTTTCCCCCCGAAGCAACGGTGGAAGATTACCATGCTGCGCCCAGAGGAGCCTTGGGGAAAACGTTGCTGGTTCCAACGCATGTTTGTGGTCAGGGAGGGGGCTGTCTAAGGTGAGTTTATTTTTCTGAGACACCATTGACACACCTGTGGTTTCTCTTGCCCCCCCCCACTCCAAACCGAAGGAGCGAGCTGCATGGGTGTACCTCTACGGGGCCGATGCGCAGTTCAGGGACTCGATGGTGGAAAAGGATACATATGGCTTGTGGAAGGCCACGACAACTGCACTGACAGTAAAACCTCGAGATCCTACAGCACAACAAAAAGGCTTGATATCGTGGCTGAAGGAGCTGTTTTCGATTCCCAACGTGCTGTGGTCTTTGCCTGAAGCAATGGTTGCACCCCTGCTCCAAGGAAGGCCCGCTGCTGGAGCAATCGAAGTGCACGGCAAGGGCATCGTTGACCTCATGCTCCAGTGTGTGGAGTTGGCGCGGGAGCGTCAGGACCCTCCCGATGGCGACCACCTGCAAGTGTTCAGAGTTGTGAGCGCTCGTCCAGAAGACAAGGAACTGGTTCGACTTCCGCATTTGCCTATTGAGAAGCACACAGTGAGGATTGCCTTGTTCGGTCGCGTGTCTGGCCTGATCGCATCTAAGCTCGAGTTCCAGATGTTTGGGTGTTTCGACTTGCAGCTGTGGGGACTTGCGCAAGTTGTGGCTCTCCGGATGTGGACCGCAAAGATATGGGACCCAAGGTTTGCCCTCCCAGAACACATCGTTTCCGAGATTGGGGCTGGTGACAGTTTGGTGCCAGAGGTGTTGTACGGTGACGACGCCAGGCCAGCAGGTGCGCGCGAAGCTGTACGGTACCTTATTGATGCACATGCGTTTGCTGCCGATGGTTTCGAAGGACAGCGCAAGTCCAAAGTCTTGCCAGTGCTTCGTCTTTACCTTATCGTTGTCGCCCACCATGCCTTGCCATTCCTAGCACGTGCCATGGCTACCCTGTCGATGGTTCGGGTGCATGCGTGATGCAACTCAGAAGTGTGATGCAGTTAGGGCCAGAATATACATGTATACATGTGCGTATGAATGTACACACACCAGCACCATATTGTGTAACACTACTGAGCATGTGCCGAAACCATCGCACAATCTGCGACGTGTCCTGCCCCCGATGGTTGGCCCTTGCCCAGGACGGCCCGTCCTGGAAGTGATCGAGAACACCAATATCAACATCAGAACACTGGGGGCTCTCGCTGACGCGGGCGTGGTGCGGGTGACTATTGAGGCTCAGGCTTTGCCAATCAGATGCCCGCCCTCCCGCGCAGCTCACAGGGGAGGCGCCTTGCTAACAAGAGGTAAGCGTGAAGAAAATCGCGCAAGCGCGACGGGAGATATAGCAAACACGTGTCGCTCAGGATGCCAGCGCGAAGCGCGATCGTAATCGTGCAGGCGAGGACGGGCCACCTCCTGCTTCTACCCCTGCTCCTGGTCTTCCTCTTCCACCTTCTCTCCCGTCTCCCCGTCTCTTCTCACTCTCCATCATACTCCCCATGCGCCTGCTCCTCTTGCGCCCCTCCCCTCCACCGCCATCGTGCTTCCAATGGGGCGTCGCCTGCGTGGCCTGCAATGGGGCCAGGCGGTTCCAGAATTCGGGGAGGGCAATGCTTCGGTCAACCTGAGTTCGCTTCAGATGTACTTAGAGCCACGGATGGACCCCCTGGAGTCGTACGCAGCATTGCAGATTCCTCCACATCTCCGCCTCTCGTCTGGGTCCCGTCTACAGATCATTCTAGACCTGGCACTGGCAGGATGGACTCGTGGCAACGACCCAGCCCATTACAAGATGGGGGACGAAAAGGTTTGGGATGCCAAAATGATCTGCAAAAGCATTCGTTATTTTCGTTGCCTTTTAGATTCAGAGCGCTTGTTCGGGAAGGGCATCGATTCGATCCACCACGGGAAGACAGACGCATACTACAAATGCTTAGAGCAGCTTGGCGATCTGAACGGCTTCCACGATCAACCAGGATTCGAGCTCTTCCGAAACACTCACTTCGAGGCGATCTGCGCGGGTTCCCCTTTACCTGCGCTTCCAGCCCCTGGAGTTGCAGCCCTTGAGGATGATCGGGCCGAGCTGGCATTGGAGGGGGCAGGGTTTGCCGCTATCGAGGATGAGGCTGGCGACGACGGAGACCCCCCGCCGATTGCTCCTCCACCACCTGCACCACTCGTGATGGGAATTGGTGCCGACGACGACACAGGACCGAAACGCTTTCGACTCGGACCAAGGACTGTCTACTTTGATAATTGGACGCATCAGAGTGGAGTTCGGCGAGGGTTTATCACGTGCAGGCTGGCGCTGGGAGCCTCGAGACGATGTGTAAAACTGGGTCTAGCTTCGCAAGCCTCCGCCAGCCCATCCTGAAACTGCCACTCGCCCGCATCCCGCGGCTGTCTTGGCTGAGTTGTTGCCTGCCAGCAACGACAAGAAACGACCCAACCAAGACCGCTGCAAAGAGCCCCCCAGAGCCCCTCCTCCAGGAGATTCCAAAGGCGGCCTATGTCACCCCCTGGACTTCCGCTCATCCCACCACAAGGGCGAGGAGCAATGATATAAACACTATGCAGGGTATGAGAAGATATTCAAAGTTGTGAAATGTCTGGCCCTGGTAGGGTCTTTCGGATTTCTTTCGAAACGTTCTGGGGGTCATCTTCAGGCTCATTGGGGAAAGGTCTGGGAGGCCTCCTGTAGCCATTCAGTAACCACCGTAGTCGGGTCTACGATCCTTGTGAGGGGTGCCCGAAACCGTTTCCACGATTAATGTTTTCGCACCGCTCACGAGGACCATGGCCCTGCCAGGGGGGGTGGGGCACGGGGGGCCCGTGGGCTACCTAAACTACTTACACCCAACGTCCAGGGGGCTGGTGTGGCTCACCGCCCCAAGCCCTGTCTTACACATCGCAAGCCTGGCCCGACCTGGGGACTCAGGCTTGCGTGGGTGGGGCGGAGCTTGGGAGGCAAGGGGGAGGAAGAGCAAGGACGGGAGCATGCCCCCCCCCCCCCTCCCAAGAGGCACAACACAGCCCTTGCTGGCGGGCTGGCTGCTGGCGCGGGGGAGATCATTCACCACAATTGCTTCAAGTACGTTCGCCTCTCGGAGTACGGCTACAACTACCAGCAGTGTGCAGAGGCGGGATGCGCCCTTGTCTACCTAGCGTCGGCGACGGCAGGGGGCGACGACGGTAATCACACAGACGACGACAGTTGTGGCGCAGACGATGGTGGCCACGATAACGACGACGGTGTTGACATAGGCGGTAACAGCGATGGCATTCTTAGATCGGCCGCTGTGGGGCCCCTCGGAGCACATACAAGGCATACGCCAGGACATCACACGGCTTTTTCATGGCCCTTCGAACGGCTCCATGTGAGCCATGCGGGCCAAATAGATGGCCGTGGCAGCTCTAAGACACCCCCCTTCAAAACAGCATGTCAACTAAACTGGGGAAGTCTAGATATAACAAAGCGAAACGATTCTCCGCCCCCCCCCTCCCCCCCGACCCCCTCCCCAGTGGCTCATCGCGTGGGACGAGGGTGGCCACTTCTTCAGCACGAAGGCCGAGCACCTCCGCTTCGAGCCTTCAGCTGCCAATTTGGCGGACGCCAAGGACGGGGCTCTGGGGAGAGAACTGACGTGCGAGGGAAGAAGGGAAGGTCCCCATGAGAAGGAGAAGCAATGCCGAAGTCAGACACTCGCATTGCCCTTCTCAAGGTGATCGCCGCTCCATTGTTTTCCCGCCTCGGCGCTCTGAGGGGCGGTCGAGAGGATGGAAGGATGGTGGGGAGGACGATTGCGGATAGGGGACAGGAGGTTGCAGAGGTGAAGAGGGTGGAGGGGTGAGAAGCAGCAGCGTAGAGTGAACAGCAACGCCACCCCAGGAGTACGTTCGAACTTTTCTTGGCTGAGATCCTGGCCAAGTTGCTTGCATGCCACGACGGGCATGCAGAGGCGCACGACAGGGATCGTGGTGCGCTATCTGCCGACCGCAAGTGTCCATCATCCTGCTGATCCCTCGTCCTCACTGTCGTCGGTGTCGCATCGTCGTCGTTGTCAGCATCGACGCCGTCGATCGACGGTTGACATCACGTCCCACGCCGTGTCAGAGGGTTTGGAAGCGGCGGCCGATCGAATGACACGCGAGGCGACCGAGCAAAGACGAACACGAAACCGAAAAGTAGAGACGACAGAGGAGTTGCGTCCTATGAGGGACGACGACGAACAAACGCGAGATGCTCGAGAGCACAGTCGGACGGCGTCCAGCTGCGAGCTGGACGGAGCTGGACGCCGTCCAGCTCCGAGCTGGACGGAGCTGGACGCCGTCCAGCTCAGAGCTGGACGGAGCTGGACGCCGTCCAGCTCAGAGCTGGACGGAGCTGGACGGAGCTGGACGCCGTCCAGCTCAGAGCTGGACGGAGCTGGGCGACGTCCAGCTCTGTCCAGGTCGGGCTGGACAGGGTTCGGCTCGATCCTGCTGGGATGCCTCGGCGAGTTTGGATGCGTCCCCCCACCCTCGGTTTGCCAATGGCTGTGCTCGCTTTGCTATGCCGTCTGCCGTTTTCAGACGTTTGAGCTTGTTTTTGCCCGCCGCACCTTGCAGCAGCCCCCGCCCTTGGACCCAGCGCACACAACACGGTGGTTTCGGGCTTCAGTCTTACTGACTCCCACACCCATTGAGCGTTGAGGATGGATGGGAGAGGAGTGTGAGTAAGGAGGAGTGCGAAGACGAGGGATGTTGAGGATGAGGATGGGTGAGGAGGGATGCCGAGCCGAGGGCAGCGAAGACACGGAGATTCGGCCCTCCTTCTGCAGGTGGCCCCCTGGTCCCGAAGCGATGGCCATGATGGCGTCATCGTCCCTGCACCGTTTCCTTCGTGTTCGGCAGCGTGATGAGGGCCAGGACTCCCAGCGTGTGGTGCGCCAGAGACTTGATTCTGACGCTGACCTCCCAGCGTGGGCGCGGGCCTTCCGCGCGCTTCCTGTAGTTGCTGCTGCCAATGGCAAGGACCTTGCCGATAACAATTATCTTACCATCTAGTCACCGCAGTCCACGTTGACTCAGTAGGGCGGGGGGTGGTGATAAGTGCTGTGCTGAAATCCTGTCAGGACCTCAAGGTGTTGACCATGTGTTCGGGGATCGAGTCGCCATTGGAAGCGCTGCGGCTTCTCGGTGTCAATCCCATCTCTACTGGATATTGGGACACGGAGGCGCGCTACGACGCTTTCGTGCATCGGCGCCCTCCCAAGACAAATGCCAACTCCAATGCTACCCCTGCCATCATATGACATGTTTGGGTAAAGTGCAGGGTCTCGCCTCGGGGGATCGCCCCGGCCTCGAGGTACCTTGGCTGGTCGGATAAGATCCACCTCGGCAAAGAGCGGGGAGACTTCAACACATGCAACTTCAGGATCCCTGGTGTTCTCTCTTTATCTCTTGGCTGATGTCGGGAACGTATAGCAGTCAACGCTTGGAAGATGCATGCTGCATAGTGCGAGTGTCCACTCACTGTGGAGTACCTGCCCCAACCTCCAGCTTTCTTGGCCTGAGCTGACCCCATCTGGCTTTGCCTGTTTGAACTCAATTCTCCAGTGAGCTGGACGACACCGACATGCTCATCGCTGGCTGCCCGTGCCCTCCGTTCTCCAGGAACGGGAGTGGCGGTTCCTGGACAGATGAGCGATCCAATGTGTTGCTGAAGACCATCGGTGCAATCCACCACCTCGCCAACCGCACCGTGTCGGGGAGCAACCCGTATGATCGTATCCCGAGGCCAGGCCTCAA